TCACTGAGTTATTATGGAACGCTCATTTGGATTCGGTTCGAAGAAAAGTTCAGAGAGTGTGAGTTTTCACTGTGAGCGTCAGATGGAACAAACGTTCCATACTGTAAATAATAAAGAATAAATGATCATTTTACTACATATAAACAATCAGTTCTGAACTACCACAAACAAAACTTCAAGCTTTAATTTTGAAGAGAATGACATCAACAGGAGGAAATGTTCAGTGATTATCATTCTGCAGAGCGTGACAGTGACCGACCATTTTTATATGTAATATTCAAATTTCAGAAGTTATTTGCTTGAGGTCCCTGGGAAAGAAAATACTGAATATGTAAATTAGATGTAATAGAAATGTTCATATGCACTAAATAACATTGAAAGCCTTTTCATCCTTACTTGAACCCAGCCAAACCATCATGACCACTTTAACATTTTATAAAATCCTCTGCTTCGAATATGTTTCTCCTGAGAATAAGGCCCCCAATAATCACACATATCTCCTCTAAAGTTTCAAAAGAGATTTCAATAATGTCTCAAAGTACTGTTGTAAAACTGTCTACAATCAGAAACAACCCCAAATTAGACAATTAATTTCATCATTTGATTTTCTCAGTGGAGAGCAAAAGTTTTGCAAACGAATGCAAAGTTTCTCAGGAGAATGCAAAATGTATGCAAACGAATGCAAAGTTACTCAATGGAATGCGAAAGTTTTGCAAACAAATGTAAAGTTTATTTGTGGAACGCAAAAGTTCTGTAAACAAATGTAGTTTCTTTGGGGAGAACAAAGGTTTGTTTGCAAAACATTTGTGTTTCACATTTGCATTCACTTGCAAAATTGTTTTTATGTTCTCCTGAGAAAAAGACATTTTGCATTTGTTTGCAAAAATGTTGTTCCCCAAGAAATTTTGCATTCGTTGGCAAAACTTTTGTTCTCCCACGAAACTTTGTATTTACTTGCAAAACTTTTGCATTCCCCCAAGAAATGTTAAAATATTTTGCCAAACTTTTGTGTTCCCCAAAGAAACTTTGCATTCATTTGCAAAACTTATTTACCCAAAAAATTTGCATTCAGTTGCAACATTTTTGCATTCTCTTCAGAAACTTTGCATTCGTTTGCAAACTTTTTGCATTCACCTAAGAAACACCAAAGTGGTGATGAAAATAATATGATGTGTGAGGAAAAAATATATTTCAATGCTATATTTTAAAACACAGGGGGGTTCTCAGGGGAATGCAAAACTTTTTTTTCACTTTTCTCCATCACTATAGCTACGTTCACACTGTCAGTTTTTGGGATTGACAACCACATGTACTTACAGGTGTGAGTCTTGAAATGTCCCGTTCACACAACAGTTGCGTTTGGAGTACTGTCTGTATGAACGTGCCACGGGTGTCAAGCCCGTATTCCTTACCAGTAACCATAGCGACAGTGACCAAAGTAAAATTAAAGATGGCGACGTCCATAATACTGAAAGTTTTATCACTTCTGACATGACAAGAGTCCAATGGAGCCGTGAGTTCTTTAGTCAAATCTTCATTAACCAACAGCAGCTTTTAAGAGCGGAGCGTTTGAATCGCGCGCAGAACACAAAACTGACGGGAGCGGCTCCGGTGGAAAACTGACGGGATCTAAAACTTTCAGATGACACGCAGCTCATTTCTCCCTCACTGTAAGTTACCGAAAACACACATGAAAACACGTAACACATGGTAGACGCGCGTTTGTGCGGCAGAGTTCTTTCGTCAAATCTTAATTAACCGACGGCAGCTTTTATATTTGGGTGGAGAGCGGAGCATTTGAATCACGCGCAGAACACAAAACTGACGGGAGCGGCTCCGGTGGAAAACTGACGGGATCTAAAACTTTCAGATGACACGCAGCTCATTTCTCCCTCACTGTAAGTTACCGAAAACACACATGAAAACACGTAACACATGGTAGACGCGCGTTTGTGCGGCAGAGCGGCTCTCTCTCGCACTGTATGACGTGTTCCGTTCACACAGCGCGGGTTTTCCGAGAATGCGGTTGAGTCCTGAAAATTTACAGGTGTGAGTCCGGTTACAGAATGCGGTTGTCACACCCGTAAATAACCGAACTGTGTGTGAACGTAACCGTATTAAGGACTCAAATACAGGACTGACAACCGTATTCTGCTGCTGTGTGAACGTGGCCTATGTGCCCTTATGGGCTCCATAGTACTGTATATTAACTACTGAATAATTTGTTTTCCTAATGAATTTTCAGATATACACCTAACCATGTTAATACTTAAATGAGACACGACTAAGAGTGATGTAACGGAGGCCAGCCAGTCAGAGCTGTGCAGGTAATGACTTTTTTTTCACACCAGTTTGAACCCCACTCAAAGAGGTGCAAGTAGAACCGGAAGGGTTACATTGACACTAACAAAGAAAGTACAAAAAGCACCATGGAAAGAGACCTGATTTATTTTATACCCACTAACAGGATATGCATACCCTGCCATCCATTTTGATTTCATTACTGGTTTTTCTCTTCAGCTGCTCAACTGATTTTTTCTTCTTGTTTACCAGTGAGTACCACAGAGAGGAAGTCAGGCCTTCATCACCCTTCAGCTCCCAGCATTCCCATAAACCAGCCTGGAATATACAATATACTGTACAAACACAATCATCATAATTACACAACCACAACTAAACGCTTCCTCTCCTCATGCCTAGGGTATCAAATTATTGATACCATTCATTTTTCAGGCTTGGTGTTGGTTTCCATTATTTAACCCCAAATTCGCTCTTGGCTTCTTGGGGTCTGAACACAGTTGGTGCCACAAATCCCCTAAAATTGTCCCCCTGGCCGCACGTCACAATTCTTTGGGGTTTTGTAAGTAAATTCAAATTCTCTTTAAATTACTTCTAGCCCTGGCTATGAAGGAGGGAAAGGAGAAAGAGAGAAAGAGAGGCGTCAAGGTTTTCGTCTCAGAATTCCTGGATAATGACTGGGCTGTAACCGTACAGCGCCGCTCGCAGCCAAGTCAAACAATGACTTCTGCCAGTTTCTCTCTATTTATTTCTCTCCATTTTTCATCCTTCTATTTTTTCTCTTATTACACACATACTCAAAAAAAAGTCATATAGACAGAATCTGCACTTAATTTGCATGGCAGCCCACCGTTCTCCTCTTTTTTTTTGTTTTATTTTTTTGCACATTCAGCAAATACTTGGGCCAAGACCGGGATTTGTGGCTGGTCGTTCTCCAGTCGGAGTGGGGAATATTTTCTGAGAAAATGCACCGGCCAACAAGGTTTCTGTGCTGTGGTTATAAACGCTGACCTTTCGTAAATTAGTTTTAAGTGTACAGACAATAAAAACGCTTTGGAAAAACAAAACCTCTGTTGTCAGTTTCATTGTTCAGGTACTTACAAACAGTCTGCGAACACTCAGAGGTGTAACATGACTGATTTTATGCTCACACAGATCACAGACACTAAGCTGAGATATATATATAAGTCTAGTATATATTTAATTTTTAAGATTTTTAAAGATAAATGTTGTGGGTGTAGTGTAGAGTACAAAAACGAGTGCATCTGACAAAACTCGTCTGGTTCATATTCCACCTAAAAATCAAAGAAAGAAAGAAAAGAAAAGAAATTATATTTTTAAAGGAAGTTTTAAGGACATAAATAAATAAATTTTATTCTGACATTATGTCTTGACAATTTTGCCCAAAAATCCAATTACAGAAATTATTTTAATTTGATAAAAATAATTATGTAATAGTCCATTTAAATATGGTAATGTTTGTTATGAACTTTAGTTATACTTCCTTTATTTTGTGCTGCTTTAGGTTGAAAAAAAAGGTCTGCAGTAATGAGTTATTTATTATTTATTTATTATCTCTATTGAAAATAATCAAATTACAAAGAAATGGTCAAAAGTAAAAGATGTGGATGCATTACAGTAATGAATTTTGAGGATATTCTACTTAACTGTCATTAAAAAAAGTTACAATGCAAAAAAAAAAAAAAAAATCTTAATGGTCCTTAAGACCTCATTAAATTTATGCAAAAAAATGCTATGCAAAATGAACTGGACATTGCAGTAGAAATGCAAAAATGCAAGAATAAATGTAAATCAGCCAAAGTTAATGTATATGATTGAGAGACAATAGCTCTGTGAGACACATTGGAGGGAAAGCGAGCGTCCAGACGTGACCTCTGTTGCGTTTGGCATGAGGCTTTGCTCTGGAACACACAGTGTGTGAGCAACTGATCTGCTGCAAGACTCCTTAAGACGACTCACTCACGCACCCAGCGGCTCTGCGGCCAGACGGGAGGGAGAGAAGCGTCTCCGTATAATCTGCTTCTCAAAGCCACTGGTTTTGTCTCGTCCAAAAGACACAGCAGCTAAGAGTATGTGTGCCCTGCAGACGGATCCGCTGCATTATCTGAAGCTCATCTTGGCGAAGGGACTCCATATATGGTTGGATTTATGGTTCAAACCACAGCTCTCGGATTCGGTTCTGCATCACAGAAGCTTGGAGAGGTCCAGCAGCATTGAGACTCAATCGCTCAGCATAATTTTTCCTTTGGACTCAGGGCCCTTTACATGGAAAAACAGAGCATTTCTTTCAACTAGTGCTAGAAAACAATAACTTGAAGTTGCATAAATCAGCATTAAAGAAATAAATCAGCCCATTCATTTACTCACCCTTGTGTAGATCCAAACCTGCATGCATGACTTTCTTTCTCAGAAAGATGTTTTGCAGAATATTTGAACTCCTCTTTTCCATACAATGAAAGTAGATGATTATGCACACTATCAAGCTGTGAAAAGGACAAGGAAACACCTTAAAATCAATTGAAATTAGCACTTTAGATATATAGTTTTTTTTTTTTTCATTAGCATTAAAGGAATATTTCAGCCAAAACAGGAACATTCTGTCATTTACTCACCCTTGTGTTCTTACAAACTTGTATGCATTACTCTTTTTTTTTTTTTTTTTCTTTCAAAAAGAGATGTTTTGCCATATATTTGAACTCCTCCAATGAAATTTGATGATTATGCACACTGTCAAGCTGCAAATAGGACAAATAAGCAACTTAAAATGCAATGAAATGAGCAGTTTGGACATTTAACTTTGCATTTCATCAGCATTAAAGTAATATTTCAGCCAAAAAAATATAAAGGATAATTCTGTAATTTACTCACCATTTTGTTCTTTCAAACTTGCATGCATTACCTTTTTCTCTCTTTCGCAAAAGGAGATGTTTTGCAGTATATCTGAACTCATTTTTCCATCAAATTAAATTTCTTGATTATGCACGCAAGCTGCAAAAAGGACAAATAAGCAACTTAAAAAGTATTGAAATGAGCAATTTGGACATTTAGCTTTGTGTTTCAGCAGCATTAAAGGAACATTTCAACCAAAAACAGTAACACATGGTTTTGTGAAAAACAGTAACACTATCATTTTGTGTTGTTCCAAACCTGTATGCATGATTTTTTTCCTCAGGAAAAGATGCGGTATATTTGAACCCCTCTTTCCATACAGTAAAAGCTGATAATTATGCACACTGTCAAGCTGCAATAAGGAAACATTTAAAATGCAACCTTAAAATGCATTGAAATTCACATACAAAAAGCTCTCAAATGTCAATATTAGCATGTAATAGGTTAATGCTCTGCTAAAAGTTGACAACTTAAAGGGGTCATATGATGCGATTAAAATTTTTCCTTTCTCTTTGGAGTGTTACAAGCTCTTGGTGCATAAAGAAGATCTGTAAAGTTGCAAAGACTAAAGTCTCAAATCCAAAGAGATATTCTTTATAAAAGTTAAGAGTCAGCCACGCCTACCTAAAACCTACATCACGCCCCCACATATCTACATCACTATGTGGAAAAATTTGCATAACGCCGCCCAAATGTTAACGCAAAGAAAGAAGGCGTAACTTTAATTCTCACTGTAGTATTGTTGACGCTGCAGCCATGTCCTGAAGACGCTGTGTGCTTCGTTGTGAAAGCGAAACTACTTTGTTTGGTCTTCCAAAAGAGGACGATATCCGCTTCGTCATGCCTAGAGCTGATCCGTGCTGGTCGCTGAGACAATACATCAACTTTGCGCTGTGGATCGCAAGATCGGCTTTCACCGTGGACGAAGCCCGGAGTCGTCACATGTGGTTAACGCTCCTTCGTCGGATCCACCGGCTGCGCCATATAGCTGGCCAATCACAGCTCACCTCGCTTTTTCAGACCGATGAGTTTTGTAAAAATCGACGCGTTTCAGAAAGGCGGGGCATAGAGGAGAAATAATAATGTACAGTATGTGGAAAAAGTTTTTTTAACCTTAAACCGCATAAACACATTTCATTACACCAAATACACAAAATAATGTTCTTTTTAGCAGCATCACCTTTAACTTCTATATTTCAGAAATACAAAGTGTTATGTCCAGTCAGAGTCCATCACTATAAACTCCATCGCACCTCAAAATAACAATGTGTTTTACAAGTGTAAAATAATGAGAACAATTCTTCAGAAAGCTGGATGAGAACTTTAAGAGATTGTGAAGTGCCTGGCGACTGCTCTTGGCATATGATAAGAAACTAAAGTGTTCAGTACGCTTCAATACAAGTCTACACGTACTAGTTATTGAGTGGAATTACATTTCAGGTAAAAAAAAAAAAAAAAATCCACCTAATTTTGTCTTACCCACGTCTTTCACTGATGTTTCCTTTGCCTCCCTCTCTTAAGTTCTTCAGTAAAGATATATATAGATGTATGTACCAATTTATGGGTTTTGTTTAACATTGCTCTTGCTTTCCTTCAGTCTCAGTATAAAAACCACTTTGTGGCAGCATCTGGTGTTCCTCCCAAACTCACCACAAAGTCCAGCAGCTCCTCCGGAAAAAAAAAGACAATAGAAATCTGAAACACAATGGTTTCCAGTTGTATTCTCAATGCCGTCTTGTTTATTAAACTGCACACCTATAGTTACTGAACCGTATGCCATCATCTGTGATCGAGTGAACAGCAGAGATGATCGAGCAGTTCTCTGCTCTCACAGTAGCAGAGTAATTGAAAAAGCAGTCTATAATTTTATGACGCAGCTGAAACCACATGAACGTGCTGAGGTTGTGTTTAGGACGGGTACGATCCGCGCTGGCTTCACCTCGGGCCCGAGGTGGTGGGATTTAATGAAGCATGTCTCCTCTCTGCTCTCTAATGACCGTTAATTAAGACCACTATAATCCAGCTCAGTTAAACCACCTCAGCCAAGATACTAAGTGAGAAACCAGTCTCTCAAAACATTAGACCCGAGCCAGGTTACAAATGTTTTTTTTATCTTATAAATACAGACGTTTGACCTGTGACCAAAAACTGCGCACCTAGATAGAAAGAGGTCGTCTGACTGCCATGTAAATCGACCAACCACAGTCTGCTAAGTGTCATTTACATGCAATAGCTGATACCACAATAAAAAACCGCCATGGAAAAAATTTATTTGGTGACTTTCGTGCTTAGTTCAGAGCAAGAGCCAACTAATATGATGAAAAATAAAGTGAATAATATTATTAATTAAGAAATTGTATAAAAAAATATGTCTTTGAAAATTTACATTTGTACTAAAAACTTATTTTTTTTTATTCTTGACAATGTCAAGACAAATTTAACTAATTATTAATATTATTTTAATTTCTATATATGCAGATTTAAAAATTTTTTTTATTATTATTATTCTTTTTTGTAGTAGTAGCAGTAGTAGTAGTAATGTGTTACCATATTTAACATTTTCAATGACAAGCACCCAAAATATGATGAAAAATAATGTGGAAAAATAGTAAGCATGATATTATAAAGAAAATGTTTCAGAAAACAAAATAACTGACTCTTATTCGACACTTAAAGGAGTAGTTCACTTCCAGAACAAAAATGTACAGATAATGTACTCACCCCCTTGTCATCCAAGATGTTCATGTCTTTCTTTCTTCAGTCGTAAAGAAATTATGTTTTTTGAGCAAAACGTTTTAGGATTTCTCTCCATGTAATGGACTTCTATGGTGAGAACCCGGAGTTTGAACGTCCACAATGCAGTTTAAATGCAGCTTCAAAGGGCTCTAAACGATCCCAGCCGAGGAAGAAGGGTCTTATCTAGCGAAACGATCGTTTTTTTTTTT